GGGAGGGGGTGGGGGCAGGGGGGAGAAATAAACCAAGCCTTGTATGCACATATGAATAATAAAAGAAAAATGAAAAAAATAAAATAAAATAAAATATTCAATTCAAAAAAAAAAAAGAAAATATGGTATATATGTATATGTATATATACATATGTATATGTACATATATACCATATCTATTTAAATATATATGTATTTCTCAGCCATAAAAAATGTGAAATTATGTCATTTGCAAAACAATGGATGGAACTGGAGATCATGTTGAGTAAGACAAGTCAAGCTCAAAAGGCTGAATATTGCATGTTCTGATTTGTGGAACCTAGACCTAAAATAATAATAATGATTAGTAATAATAATGAGACATGTATGTTATATTTAGGGGACTGTTTGGGGGAGGGGAAAAGGAAAAGATACTAAGGAGTGAAGAGGACAGAAGTATGATGCATATCGTATGGAAACCACACAGAGGAGGAGAGGGGGAGTGGGAATATAATGGAGGGTGAACTTGTTCAATGTACACTGTATGCATGTATGGAATTATCACAATGAACACCCTCATTAATGTATGCTAATTCAAAGACAAATTTTTTTAAAAAAGAAACGAGTGCTGAACAGGCCTGGCATATGCTCCGGGAATATTTATTGAGTGCACAAAGGAAGGTAAAGATGCAATAAGAAATGGAGACACTACCTCTGTTGGATAGGGTAGTCCATCAGAATTTCCCAGAGCTGTACTGAAATATTCCTGCCCCAGGCACTCTATATCGTTTATTACCTTTTTCCATGAAATTGAAGCAAACTACTGATTTAAAACAATCACTTTTTGGTTTCTTCACACTGGAAAGGAAGGAGACATGTTCTGCAAATCTGACCACTGGTCATTGTTATTTCCCCATCATGTGACACATTGACACCTGGTTAGTACCTTGTGTTGGCATACGTTGGTTAGATGAGCCAGTTTCTGAGAAGATGGGCATATGGTCTGAGAACTTCTGTAGCAGAGAAAGAAAACTGATGGATCATAAAATCATCTGGCTTATGTTTTATTTATCCTTCATACTGTTGTTGTAGTTTATAAAAATTTGTTCTCAAATGTTCAGAACTGTATTCATCATATCACATTCTCACCATTGGCTCGTATACTGGCTCAAATATTGACTCATGAAAATTCAGGTTGTTGTTTTGTCCTGTGAAATCAAAGCATCTACCAGTACTGGATCTATTTCCCTGCAGGACAACCACTAGCAACTGCTAGGAGTGCTATCTCTGATCATATCAATCTCTGTTGTCTCCTGACCAGAGGCTTCATGTCAGCCTATGTGCATCACTGGACCTGAATTGTTATTCTTCTGATAATGTAAAGAGTGTGCTATTTTATCATCTCTACTTCATCTGTTTACATGACCTGCCTGATAAATGTCAGTATTTGAGTTTGAGAACCCTGCTCTGTTGGGAAACCTTGACCTCCCAAATAACATCTATAATTAATTGAGCTCTTATATGCAAAGCACTGAGCTAACATTTTCATAACTTGTCTCTTTAATCCCTGTAAAACCATATGAGGTAAGCATGAGCTGTCACTTCCATTTTACATGTGAAAACTAAAGTTCAAGGAGGCTAGTCCACGATTATAAATCTAAGTGGTGACACTGAGATTCAGACCTTGCATTCAAGCCATGACTCAAAGCCCAAGACCAAAGCTTAGGCTTTCAAACCAACCAGTAATCTGGTAACAATAGACTTAATCACACTGTGTCTCCCCCCATACTCAGCTATGTAAAACTGCATACCAGGAAGTAGGACTGAATAGCAGGCAGGTATTGTGAACACTGCCCTGCTCTCATCATGGTCTGTGGTGGACACTTACTTTCTGCCAGTGTCAGCCCAGGGCTGTGGCTTTGTTGTTTCTGAGAGCTCTGGCTATTCTGGAGAGGGAGGACAGATGGTTCTGAGGGTCACTGTGACTCTTATAAATCATGGGTTCTGACACTGCATTTTGTGTGTGTGTGTGTGTGTGTGTGTGCATGTGTGCGCGCGCTCACGTGTTTCTGGGCTGTCCAGGGCTGTCCATGGGCCAGCTCCTATAAAGAGGCTGAAGCTCCAGCCTTATAGCTGTTAGACCACTAAGATGAGGAAGCTGTTGCTATGGGTTGGTGAGTATGACAGTTCCCAGCATTGTTACTCAGTCCCGAAGATACCAGTGCTCAACAGAGCAGTCTGAGACTCAGGAGGCCTGGATTTGGTAGAGATGAGATGAGACATAGTGAAGCGTGAGAGGCACTCAGGGAGGAAGGATCAGAGCAGCAGTTCTCCAGCCTGGTTATACCTTAGATATGTCTTGGTTCCATTTTGGGCTAATTAAATCAGAATTTCTGAGGGAAGAGCCAGGATGTCTGTCCTTTTTAATTAGAAGCCAGAACTGAAAACCATTGGCATAGAGTTTTTGTTCATATTTCTAATCAACTCTCTATACAAAGCATGTATATATTCATCCACCTGTGTGGTTGGTGGATGGTGTGTATCTCCATATGTGCACCTATGGCTGGATATGGTGCGGAATTGGTGGTGCACTTGCTAACGAGGGTGGGCAGGGGCATAGCACTCTGCATGTGAATATGAATCTGTGTGTGATTCCTTCCTTTGCTTCTTGCAGGACTGGTTCTTCTGCTGAAACACCACAATGGTAAGGAAATTGTGTTTTCCCCTCCAGAGCCAAGGAGAGTCTCTGGCTAGGAAGTCCTCCACAGAGAGTCCCTTACAGCTCTGCCCGGCCCAGCTCCTGGTGCAGGGATTATTGATCCAGTGCAGTTCAACAGAGAATGTTTGGTCACCGGCTGTTTGTACCATCAACTATGTTCCAGGATCCAAACTTGAGGATCCATTCTGACCACCATTCATAAGGCATTCTTTCTCCCCCGGGACCTCAGCAGGGACAAGTGACTAGACCTCAGTGAAGCTTTGGGGGGTTTGGGAGGTGGAAACTTACAATGCCATGGCGTTTTGGACTGTGTTCACACTCTTCTCCAAAAGCTAAGTTCCCCTCTCCTTTGATCTCTGCCAACTAATGTATGTTTTCCCTTATCAGGTGCTGCCTACAAACTGGTGTGTTATTTTACCAACTGGGCACACACTAGACCAAGTCCTGCCTCCATCTTGCCCCATGACCTGGACCCCTTTCTCTGCACTCACCTGATATTTGCCTTTGCTTCAATGAGCAACAATTGTATTGTTGCTAAAGATTACCAGGATGAAAAAATTCTCTACCTAGAGTTCAACAAACTCAAAGAGAGGTGTGTTCATATTGAATGTGGGGCTGTATTTTCAGATTTTACAGACTGAAGAGAATTGAGCCTATTTCTGTTACTCTTAATTTTTTCTCTGCTTCTTCCAGTCCTAGCTTCCGCTCTACTGGGGCCCCTGAGCATCCCCAGCTTAAGAACTCCATGTTGACAAAACACCTTGAACTCATTCTGGGCTCCTTGCCTTGGTAGTTGGTGTTGCCTCTCCCTGATGTCATCTCTCTCCCTCTTTGCCTGGCAGACCCCAATTCACCATTTGAGTCCCAGTTGGGAAATCTTAGGTATTATGCTGTTAAAGTTCTTCAAAGAGGGTCTCAACATCACAAGTGCTCAACAAATGTTAGTGTTTTTATTGCCATTTGTCACTTGCAGCCAAGCAGGGAGCTCCTCAAAGGAAGGGATAGAGTATCCTATGTCTCTGTACCTCCAATAGCTAGGTCAGTGCCTACACAGAGTTGATGCTCAGTTAAGTGCTAGCTTAAGTATTCCCAGTTCTGAACTCCTGAGTTCTTCCAAGGGAAGATTACATTAATGGCTATCCATACCACTGAAGTCAAGCTCCCTGGGTACTGGGGAGCTTGTCCATATTGGTCTCTGTTGTATTTCAAGGACCTAAAGCATCAGTCAGTGGCACATAGTCATTGCTCAACAAGTATTAGTTGGATGAGGAAATGAGTAAAGAGAAACATTTCAGACGATCCTTTCTTTTTGGAAGTACTATGGATGCTCAGGGGCGTTTGAGAGATTGTGGATAGCTTTAGTGTTGCAAGGCTGTGATGACCTGCAGGCTGACTTTCCTCTTTTCCCTTGCTTTTCTTGTTTGTGGTCTCCTTTCTTCCTCCTGCTTTCTCCATTTCCTTCTCCTACCTCCCATTGTTCTTCCAAAAAGAATGGTGACTGCAGCTGCCCAGTGGAGCGAGGACCCACTTAACCTACCTTCTCTCCCACATTCTAGGAACAAGGAGCTGAAAACTCTGCTGTCTATTGGAGGATGGAACTTTGGAACATCGAGGTGAGATTTGCTGTCACTGTCTTCTCTCTGGGAGGGTGGAGCAGGTAGACTGAAAGTAAGAATGATGGTGGCATGGGAGAGGACAAATTGGGCACCAAGTTGGTCATGAGCACAGCAAAGCCAGTGCAGACACTTCCCCAGGTCCTCGTCTGGCCCTGGATTCAAGCCCCTCCTCCCCACTCCATAGAGGGTCACAGAAGACAAGGAAGTTCCAACAGATGGTGAGAAAGGAGATGTGGGGAAAATAAGAGACAAATGGAGTATTCACAAATGAACCCAACTTCATGAGAGGCAGGAGTTTTGTCTTAGAAGAGAAGAATCTTATATATGATAAAAAGAACAAACCCCAAACCTCATTTTATAAATGAAGCCAGTCAACTTTGAAAGGTTTTAATGGAAGAAAAGCAACAAAGAAACTGTTGATCTTAGTTCATGGGCCCATAGTACACATTCCATATTCAGTAACTGCTCTCGTGAGCACTTCACCCTCCAACAGAAAATGCAAAAGTCACAAATTGCCTTCATATTCTCTGAAGAAGCATTTCTTCTACTTCCTGGCTGAGGCCTGGAGCAGCAATCTGTCTATCATCTCACCTTTGAGGAAGGGTGGGTGGCCTGGAGTATGTGAGGAGGCCCCCTTGTAAGGGATCTCCGGGTATGATGAAGGAATGATTCCAGGTGTGAGGAGTGAACCAACTCTGCTCAACCTCAGACTTCACCCATCCCTTCTGAACCTTTGCTCTGTACCAGATGCACGGTGAGGAGCTATACATTTTCCCCATGACTTCCCTAGAAAAGCTTACAAAGTAGTTGTATTCCGAATTTGTAGGAAAAGAAAACAAGAGTCACAGGTGTTAAAGAGCTTGCCAGATTTCTCCCAGATGTCTCATGGAGATCACCCAACTGGGGGATGGCCAATGGACAGTGAAACTCAGGCTCATTTGTCTCTGAGTCTGGTTATTTTCTATCAGTGTCCATGGGGGTGGCACAGAATTGTTTAGAAATCATCTCTGGTAAGTTAAAATTTTTCCCAAAGATTCTTCACTATGGAAGAGAAACCACAATAAAATAGAACAAAGTCAAACAAGCAAGTAAGTAAAAGAGCCAAGGAACAGGAGCTCCATATCAGAGCTCTAGCTTCTTGTGCTAACTTAAGCAGCCTTAGATCTAGATTAGCTCATAGATCCTTCTGGAAGAGCTGACCTTGGCTCCCATTCCCCCACCTCAGTCCAAAATCAGGGAAAGAAGGTCAGTGGTAGGACAGGTGCTGGGAATTGTGGGTGTGGTAAGGAGACAGTAGAGAGAGGCAGGACACTCCCTCACAGGAGGCTATAGTTCTGGGAACAGCATTCTTTGCCTCACTCCCTGGTCTCCCTGCAGGTTCACCACAATGTTGTCCACATTTACCAGCCGCAACAAGTTTATTTACTCAGTTATATCCTTCCTGAGGACACATGGCTTCGATGGCCTTGACCTTTTCTTCTTGTACCCTGGACTACGAGGCAGCCCCCTATATGACCGGTGGACTTTTCTCTTCTTAATTGAAGTAAGGCCAGTCTGAAAGCTCCAGAATTCAGGAATGGTTCTATTGATCATTATGAAGGCTGGGAACAGGGGCAGGAGAAAGGAAAAAGTGCTTTTTTACTGCTATCCCCTAGAGGTATGGGGCAAACTCAGCTGGTGCCCTGTGGTTGCTCTTTGTCGACATCCGGGTCTTGCTTAGGCTCTCTAGCTAAGTGTTGTCTTCTCCGTGATTCCGTCAGGCACAGCCTGGACCCTGTGCTCCCAGCCTGCTTACTGACCCTCTGTTAAATCACTTACCATGTTGACCTGTTTTGGCTTTTCTCACAAACTATGGACAGACCTATGGGTAGGTCTGACTTATGTTTCTAACCCCAGACCTAGTTGAAGGTACTCAGTAAATGTTTCCTGGATGATGCTTTCTCTCCCTGACTGTGTTTTGTCTGGTTCTCTATGTCTTTCTTCTTAGGAGCTCCTGTTTGCCTTTAAGAAGGAAGCACTACTTACCAGCCGCCCAAGGCTGCTTCTCTCTGCTGCTGTCTCCAGCATCCCATACATCATCCAAACATCTTATGATGTACACCGACTTGGACAGTGAGTAGATATTCCTCCAGTTGGGCAGGACATTGAGCTAAGAACCCCAGAGCATCTCAAGATCTGTGTCTGAGCTCACCATATGCCTACCCTGGTTTCAGTGAGATTGGGAGATAGGCTGAGACATATGTTGGCAAGAAGATTTAGCTCTGTTATATATACCCTCAGTTTTTCTTTAGAAGGTCAGAGCAGGGTGCTGTAGTGCTGGCCCACAACACTGGTATCATGGGCAGAGACTTCTACAGGGCTCATTTTACTAGGTCTCCTAAGGAGAGAATGCCATGGGCCTGGCCTCTTCCTACCCAGAGCTCAGCTATAGACATATACTGTGCTGCAGAGGCTTGTGTCAGAGGGCAGATGAGTTAACAACCACTGCCATAGGAAGAAAAGCAGGAATGCCCAGTCACACCCAAATTTCAGAGTAGATCTCCTTTTCCTTTGGAAAAGGTAGTCAAGAATAGCACATAGATCTTTCTGGACCTGCTGACTTTGGGATAACTTTCTTGAACCTCAATAATCAACTGTTTACAGTTGAAAAAGCTGAGGCAGATTCAGAAAATGAAAGAATGTATGTTTTTGTGGATGACTGCATTGGAGAGAGGTGTTTCAATGTGGGAGGGAAGGCAAGAGGTCTGATAGGGAAGGGTGTTTTTTAATCTTGTCACCAGGCAGATTAAGAGAGCCCTGCCTTCACTCTACTGGGTGACTTTAGGCAAGTTGAGTTAATTTGAGTTTCAAATTCTTCAGACTTAAAATGGAGGAGTCATGTTACTGATGGCACCTGCCAGGTTAAAATTAAACTAGATATTCAGTGTAAACCTTTGTACCTCTGACCTTGCTCAATTGCACCTGGTTATTATGAAAACTTTCTAGAGGGTGGGCTTCAGTGCTCCTGCAATGGTAGAAGGACAGCAGCTCTTTTACTGCCATGGGACAGAGCTGCTTTTATTCCTGACAGTTTTATCAGACCTCTACTGATACTCGTGTCAGGCCAGGATGTATTTGTTTTATTGTCCGATTCCTGCCTACCTCCACAAATACTCTCAGGATACGTAAAGGCTAATGCACAGCTGTCCCTATACAGCAGTTTATTCTATGTCAATGTGGTTGTCACAGCTCAGGCAGGCCCCACAGGCAGAAAGAGCAGGGAAGCTCAGGTGACCAACACACAGACAACCACTAGTTGTAGCTAGTTAGTGCTACATCCAACCTTCATATCTCCTCTTCCATTCCTTACAGACTCCTGGATTTCATCAATGTCTTGACTTATGACTTGCATGGAAGCTGGGAAAATTCCACAGGACACAATAGCCTCTTGTTTTCTCTGCCTGAAGACCCTATATCTTCGGTAAGAAAAGGAAAGGTCTCAGGAGGCCTAGACATCCATCCATCCCTGAGCCCAATTGGCCATGGTTTCTTAATAATGGGAAGGGATTTTCTTCATTCCTGCAGGCATATGCTATGAATTACTGGCGAGAACTTGGGGCACCTGCAGAGAAGCTCATCATGGGGTTCCCCACCTACGGGCGTACCTTTCACCTTCTCAATGCATTTAGGAATGGACTGCGTGCTCCCGCGATGGGACCAGCTTCTCTGGGGAAGTATACCAAGCAAGCTGGCTTCTTGGCTTATTTTGAGGTGATGGCATTAGGGACCTCTGTCTAGCAGATAGGACCCCCTTACCCTAGTTGGAGCAAGGGGCAAGACAAGGGACAATGACAGGGTGAGACCTAAAGACAGGGCGCAGAGGTAGTTTATTAGGACAAGGGAAATTTGCTATCTGGCAGATTTTGGGTTTTTTGGGGGTGGGGTGGGGGAATTGAGATGAGAAGTTTGGGGGAATCTGAATGGAGGGGGATAGTTGTTTCACTCCTCAAAAGAATCTTAAATGTTGTTTAAGTAAATCTTGACTTTTATATGACCTAAATGAAAAACAAGTTTTCTCCTTTACAATATGTGCACTTGAAAAAAATACGCAAAAGTAAAAGAATAGTTTAACATTCCATAACCATACACTCCTCACCAGCTATAGTCATTAATCCACAGCCTATCTTGTTTCATCTGTATTCTGGCTCCTTGTCTCCTTATACTAGGTTATTTTGAAGCAATTCTAAGACACCGTCTAACACTGGTTCTTTCTCTTTTACTACAATTCCAGCCTTATTCCCCTTCATAAGAAAGCTTGCTCTGAAGAGAAGTGGAGAGGGGGAATTTAAGTATGATATATTTGATGCATTATAAGAACCTTTGTAAATGCTACAATGTATCCACACCCAGCACAACAATTAAAAAAAAAAAAAAGAAAGCTTGCTTTGGAATGCAGTGGAGGAAGTAGAAAAGTACCCAAGGAGACATAAGAATTGACAACAGGAGGCATATAAGAGTGAGGTTGTAGGGACCTGGGAAAGTGTTATGGAGCAGGTGGACTCTGAGCCATCTCTGAAGCACAGGAGATTTGCAATGGGCAGGCACAGGACACAGATGTGTAAGGGGTGTCAGATGGAGAGTTAAAACCTTACTTTAGGCAGTAGCAGAGCTACTATCAATGAAACGTAGGTATGAGTGATGTCATAGTTGAATTAAGGTTTTTGAAGGACATCATGGGTCAAGGAAACTTTAACAGACAGAATCTTTGAACTAGCAAAAGAAAAAAAGAAATGACTTAAACATTGGTTTCTGTAGCAGGTGAACACCTCTACATTAAAAAAAATCTTTAAAAATTATTGTTGTACTTGGGGTGCATTATGACATTTACAAAAGTTCTTACAACATATCATAGTTAAATTCATCCCCTCCATCATTTTCCTTTATCCCCTCTCCCCCCCATTCCTGGGACACTTTCAGCAGGTCTCATTTTTCCATTTTCACATTTGAGTACATAACATTTCTACCACATTCACCCTCCACACCCTTTCCTACAGTCCGGACAGGACCTGCTTTACCTTCCTGTTCTTCCTTTTGACAAAAGACATTTTTGTTTCTAAAGATAGCTATACAGAGTTTCATTGTGACATTTCCATATATATATATATTATAACCCAAATTGGTTCATCCCCTCTATTGTTCTCCTTTCTATCTTAGTCCCCTTCTTATGGTGATTTCAATAGGTTTTAAAATTCTATATTAATTCTTGTATAGAAAGTACATCACCCATATTCACCTTCATAACTTCCTCTTTTACACTCTCTCTCCCAATAAGAACTTCCCCTTAACAAGACCCATTTTTCATAATATTGCTTGTATTTGTATTAGGTCTATATTCCACAGATGAGGGAAAATGTGCAGCCTTTGGTTTTCTGAACCTGGAAGACTTCACGTAAAATATTCTCCAGTTATATCCATTTACCTGCAAATGGCAAAATTTTATTCTTCTTTATATATCTCTACTTCTTTGTAATGCTGGGCACTCATTAGACACCCAAGTGCTTGATGTATTGTAACAACTTCATTCCTCCTGCCTGCACAATCTTTATTTTTTTAAATTTTTATTGTTTTATTATTCATATGTGCATACAATGCTTAGGTCATTTCTAACCCCTGCCCCCACCCCCTCCCTTACCACCCAGTCCGCCCCCTCCCTCTCCCCCCCAACTCCTCAATACCCAGCAGAAACTATTCTGCCCTTATCTCTAATTTTGTTGAAGAGAGAGTATAAGCAATAATAGGAAGGAACAAGGGTTTTTGCTAGTTGA